GGGGGGCAGTTGGGGGGGTGGGAGGGTGGGAGGTGAGGAGGGGATGAGGGGAATAAGTTGAGGGATTTAGGAAGTGAGAGAAGAAGGACGGAGATGGAGGGGGAAAGGATAGGAGGACGGAGGGAGGAGAATGGAATGGAGAGGAGGGGCGGAAAAGGAGGTCCAGAGAAAAGGATTTTGGGGGAGAGAGAATAAAAGAGAGATGGGTATTGTAGAAAGATTGATGGATGGTGTATTGGATATTCTGCGAATAATGAAAGAGAGAGAAAAAAATAATAAGAGTAATGAGAGATAGAGGGAGAGAGAGGAGGGGGGAGAAAGAGAGAGAGAAGAGAGAGAGAAGAGAAGAGAATGAGAGTACTTAAAAAAATCCAATGAGTTCTGGTGCTCTCCAAGCGTATTTTATTCATTCTGATTGTGTTTCTTATAGCATGAGTGTTTGTGGAGAGGGGATAGACGCTTGTAAATACCCAGTGAATGTAGGTAATTCCCTGTGAGAGAGAGAGAGAGAGAAGAGAGAAGAGAGAGAGAGAGAGAGAGAGAGAGAGAGAGAGAGAGAGAGAGGGAGAGAGGGAGAGTGTGAGTGTGTGTGTGTATGTATTAATATATTGAATATGAAAGTATTACTACATAAACGTATTAAGTTCTCCAGGACTATCGTATATTGTGGAAAATTGTCAAAATAACGAGACATGGACAGGATATCGGAGAGAGAAAATAGTTGACTGTCCTTCATGCTTGACTTCAGGAAATCCACTGAAAAAATTCCGACTCATAAATGGCAGTTGGCGATTTTTTTTCTTCTAATCTGAATAAACCACGATCAGCTTTATTTTCTTAAGATTACACGCCAACACATACGATAATACTATAATGGAAATAAATCCAAAACATGCAATGTAAATTACTAGATACCCAGAAACACAAATATACCCATGAAAGTAAACAGTAGATTAGCCACTCATTTGAAAATTATGAATGATTTTTTAATATAATTAATAATAATAATAATAATAATAATAATAATAATAATACACAAAAGGTAATCAAAACAACACCATTAACATCCAAACGGAAAATTCTGACCCCAAATTTGTCTCCGATGTCCGAATAATTAAGACTAATTGCAGTTCTAAGGGAAGGGAACAACACCGATTGCCTTGTTGATATCTTATAATCAAAATAATAATAAGACGCCACGAACACCCAGATGGGCAATTTTATCCCCAAATTACTCTCCGATGCTAGAAGAACCGACAGTAATGGCAGTTCTGAGGAAAGTTACCAACAATGATTGCCTTGTTAACACCTTATGATCAAAATAACCAAACATCACCCTTAACGAGCAGACGAACCATTCTAGACCCAAATGTGTCTCCCGATTCTAGAATAATCGACCGTAATTACTGTTCTGAGGGATAGTTAATAGCAATGGTTGCCTTGTTAGCATCTTTCTCTCGACAACTTTGGCTGGGCGGGACTCCGGGATAAACTGTCTCTCGAGGTCGGTTAAGGGACAAGGTTTTTACGAGTGGATTCTGGGGGTCGTTAGGCCTATTCACTCTTGAACAAGGGGTTGGGGTGATGGTTCAGGATGAGGGAGGAGAGAGAGAGAGGTGGGAAGATGGGGTGGGTGATGCATGTAGATAGATAGATTGATAGATCGGTAGGTAGGTTGAAGAGGTGAGGGAGGTAGGAAGAGAGAGAGAGAGAGGGAGGAGGTAGGAAGAGAGAGAGAGGCGAGCGGAGGCAAGGGGAAGAAAGAGAGGAGGAGGGAGATAGAGATAGAGATGGATTGATAGATTATAGATAGATATAGCCCAATATAGATATACAGACAGACAGACCGTTATAAGCTTATAATATATAATGGCCATCGTACCTAGTATCATATGTTAACTTACGAACATTACCACCAATGACCTTTTCCGTTCTGAAATGGGCATTATGATTAGAAACCTAATCACGGCAATCATAAAGGAATCTTGGATAATTGCCTGCCTCTAATTACGTTTCTTCTGTTCCCTCCAGATGATAATGGAGTGTTACCCGCCGCGATTCTTACCTGGGAGAAAACTTTGAATTTATTGATATCATTATCTCTCCACCGCTTTCAGGAACTACCGGGCGGGAACTTACACATACTCTCAAGGATGATTTCTTAATATCTTTTCGTTTCGTGGGGGCTGGCGGAGGGGGGGGGGGGGGAAAGGGAGGGGTGCGTTTAGTTTGTTTTAGTTTATTTATTTTTATTTAGTTTAGGTTTGGTTTAGGTGGTTATGTGTGTCTATGTGTTTGTGGTTGTGCTGTGTGTTAAATGTTTCGTACGCTGCCTGAGGTGTGTGTGTTTAGGTTTTTGGTTGTTGGTGTTATGTGTTTTGTCCCCTGCTGTGCGTGGTGCTAAATGTTCTGTGCTGAGTGGCTGTTTGGTTTTTTGGTTTGCTGGTGTATGTGTTTGTGTCCGATGTGCCGTGTGTAAATGTTTGTGCTGACGTGCTGTGTTTTTGGTTTTGGTTGTGTGTATGTGTTTGTGCGACCCTCGTGTGCACATGTGCGTGTGTAATGTTTGTTTGTGAGCTGCTGCTGTTGGTTGATTTGCGTTGTGTGTGTGTTTTGCTGTGTTCGTGTTGTATGTTTGTGCTTGTGTGTCTGTGTTTTTGGTCTTGGTTTTGTAGTGTTATGTGTTTGTGGTGATGCGTGTTGTAAATGTTTGTGTGAGTTGTGTGCTTTGTTTTTAGGTTGGTGCTATGTGTGTGTGCGTGGTAAATGGTTTGTGTGAGTGTTGTGTTTTGGTTTGGTTGTGTGTATAGTGTTTGTGTGTGGCCGTGGTGTAAATGTTTTGTGTGAGTTGGTGTGTTTGGCTTTGGTGTTGTGATGTGTTTTGTGTGGTGTCGTGTGTAAATGCGTTGTTGTGTGTGTTGCGTTCTGTGTAAATGTTTTGTGTGAGTGTGTGTTTGTTGGTTTGGTTTGTTGTATTGTGTTTGTGTGAGTTTTCTGTGTGGTAGTTCGTTGTGCTGTGTGTTTGTATGTGCTGTTTTGGTGTTGTGTGTATGCTGTGTGTAAATGTTTTGTCCGTGAGCTGTGTGTTTCAGTAATCAGTTGTGTATCCGTTGCTATTCTGCTGTTTGTGTGTGTCGCGTGACGTGCTGTTTGTTTGTATTAATTGATTATGCATGAAAGAGGCATATGGAATAAAGACTTACGTAATAGTTGGAAAGCGAAAATTAATGAGCAAATAACGAAAAACAGACACCGTAATTTTAACTCAGAATTAATGACATCATGATCCAGGCTAGAGGTTGCCGAAACTTTTTTTTTTTTTTTTTTTTTTTTTTTAATTCGCTGTCATCAAACACAACATAAATTGTACCGAAATTTATACCTTTATTCTATTCTTTAAATTCGATTCAAAAAGAATGTACTGAAGTGAAGGAAGAGAAAGGAAAAGAAGGAAGAAAGAAGAGAAAGAAGAGAAGAAGAAAAAGAAGAAGGAAGAAGAGAAAGGAAAAAGAAGGAAGGAAGCATATCTATATATATAAGAAGGAAGAGAAAGGAAAAGAAGGAAGAGAAAGGAAAAGAAGGAATGAAAAAGGAAGAGAAAGGAAAAGAAGAAAAAAAGAAAGGAAGGAAGGGGGTTCATCTTTGCCGACGCTCCACCCCTTCCCAACCCACCCACCCCCAACCCTAAAAAAGAAAAGAAAAAAAAAAGCACTTTGGGTTCATGCATCAGCTTTCTCCGAACTGATGGATAGTCCAAAAAAGGGGGGGGGGGCTTTTAACCTTCTTATTCTGCGCAGTCACTATCAATTTTGGTCTCAGAGAAGAAACCTTTCGTGTTTTAGGTCTTTTGGTCTTCATAGCGGTCGAGGTTGGTCACTCTCTTCGCTGGGACGGACTGACGGGTGTTGGGATTCCGTTATATGGGGGTGGGGCGGGGAATGGGGTGTTTTTTGTGCTGTATGGTCGTTGATGTGTCTTATTTGATTTTTTTTCTTTTTTTTTTTTAGTTCTTTCCGTGTTTTATTTTTCTCATTCTCTGTTTCTGTTTCTCCTTTCTTTCTTTTCTTTCTTTCTTCTTCTCTTTCTCTCTTCTCTCTCTCTCCTCTCCTCTCTCTCTCTTCTCTCTCTCTCTCTCTCTCTCTCTTCTCTCTCTCTCTCTCTCTCTCTCTCTCTCTCTCTCTCTCTCTCTCTCTCTCTCTTCTCTCTCTTTCTCTTTCTCTTTCTCTCTTTCTCTCTCCCCTTCTCCCCCTTCCCCTCCCCCCCCTCCCCCCCTCCCCTCCCCTCCCCTCCCCTCCCCTCCCTTCCCCCCCTCCCGCTTCCCTCCCTTCCCCTCCCCTCCCCATACCCTTCCCCTCTTCCCTCCTATTTACTTCCCCTTTACTACCCTCTCCCGGCTTGTAGTGCAACGGTAGCGTGCTGGTCTAGGAATCTTGCTGACCTACGTTCGATCCTGCCAGTGGATGGTAACCCCGGCCACTCCTTGCACACAGGGGGAGATTTAGAAGCAAATAGACAGGATGTCACAGTAAAGAATATCCACTGGAACAAATGGAATTAAATCTAAATCTTTAACAAAAATCTTTATATCTTTAAATCCAGAAATCATATCTTTAAATCCAGAAATCTTTATAAATTTAGATCCTTAAATCTTTGTATATTTAAATCCGTCAATATTTATATCTTTAAATCCTTAAATATTTATATCTTTAAATCCTTAATATATTTTTAAATCCATAAAGTTTATCTTTAAATCCATAAATTCTATCTTTTAATCCATAAATTCTATCTTTTAATCCATAAATTCTATCTTTTAATCCATAAATTCTATCTTTAAATCCATAAATATTTATATCTTTAAATCCTTAAATCCTTAAATATCTTTCTTATTTCTTATTCCTTTAAATCTATAAATCTTTATACATCTTCAAACCCTGAAATCTTTATATCTTTGATCCCTTAAATCCTTAAATCTTCCAACCCTTCCTTCTCTCTCCCTCCAGTACGAGCTGCAGACGTTCACTGAGAAGCGGGAGACGTCCTGGGCCTTCACTCCCTACGGCGGCGGAGACGTGGACGGCCCCAGCAACGGCCCCGCGCCCCTGCCGTGGGACGTGGAGGCGCGGCCGACGCACATGTTCCACGACGAAGTGAAAGTGGTCCAGGTGCCTCACACCGCCTCTGTCAAGGAGTGCCACAGGTGCAAGGGCACGGGGTCGCTCCAGTGCTCCGAATGCCACGGCAAAGGATGGGTATGTCAGATTGGCTCTCAGTTATTTTCCTATGACTCATTTTTTTCTTCTTTTTCGATTGAGCATTTTTGTAGAATTTATTCATTTTTGTACATTGTGAACGCCGTTCTTAATCTATAAAGGTAATCATCATTCACTTCTCTCTCTCTCTCTCTCTCTCTCTCTCTCTCTCTCTCTCTCTCTCTCTCTCTCTCTCTCTCTCTCTCTCTCTCTCTCTCTCTCTCTCTCTCTCTCTCTCTCTCTCTCTCTCTCTCTCTCTCCCTCTCTCTCTCTTGGTGTAAGAACTCGTGACCGCTTTCAATTCACGGAAAGCAAGGAAGGCACTTGATCTGTAACACCAACTTTTTGTAAATAATGCTGAAACGTCAGTGGTGTTTTATTATCACATTGTCATAGAGGCTTCAGTGTATGCGATAGCGTGGTTCTCGAGTGTTTTTATGTGTGTGTGCGAGAGAGAGAGAGAGGGAGAAAGAAAAAAAGAAAGAGAGAGAGAGAGAGAGGAGAGATCGAGACAGACAGACAGACAAACAGACAGGACAGAGAGAGGGAGTATTTAAGTGTGTGTGTGTGTGTGTGTGTGCCTGCATGCGCGCGTGCTTGCGTGAGTGTGCGTGCCTGTTTGCCTCTTCCTTCCCCATTTCTCTCCGTCCTGACGACCGCCTGCTCCCCCAGACCCGCTGCCTGTCCTGCCACGGCGACGGCTGGTACACGGACTCCTCGGGCTACAAGGAGCGCTGCTTCTACTGCCAGTCCTCGACGCACGGCCACGGACGCCAGGACTGCCTCAAGTGCAACGCCAAGGGCCGCGTCGCCTGCCCGCCCTGCGACAGCTACGGCCAGATCCGCTGCTTCATCAGACTCACCATCACCTGGTCAGTACTCGGCCTTCGAGGGAGAGCTTGGGCGCTTCCTCTCTTTCGAGGAAGAGCTTGGCGGCGCTTCCTCTCTCCCTTTCGAGGAAGAGCTTGGGCGCTTCCTCTCTCCCTTTCGAGGAAGAGCTTGGGCGCTTCCTCTCTCCCCTTTGGCCCGCATGTTTTCTCTACGTCGTCCTCGTTGTCTCTGGGGGAGGTTACGTTCTCCCAAACACATGATTAGGTTTCTATCCATCAGGGAATTTTATGGGGAGTCTTGTCCTTCAATAACTATTCATAAAAATAAAATCAAGTATCTGACAGTCACACTTCAGTCACACTCGAGGGCAAGAATACTCGTACTCGTGAAAGGTCGCGAGGCGCCTTTTCACAGAGGAGACACGCTGTTATTTATTAAGCGCGACATTAACTGAGGTCGCGAGCTGCACTTTACCTCGTGCGCTTGTCGATTTAAACCGAAAGACACAAGATACGCCGCGAATCAGACATACTTTCACTTGTTTCAGAATGTAAAAGGATGAGCTTTGTAATAAAAACTGCCCTTAAATGTAGAATGATTACTATTTACAGCAGAGATGGTTGCAGGTTTGGCTACCGGCCATCCCTTTAAGTTAATTAGTTAAATGACTGTTTCCTAATGTTAGAAAAAAAGTATTGGCACCAGCTACTCTCTAGGTTGGTTGGACCTACGTAATCCTCGGTTATAGGCAGTTTTAGGTCTGTGTTTTAAAGGGAATTTGGCAAGCAACCTCTCTGAAGATTCCTTGCTTTGGTTGGTGGCAGACGTTTTAGAACAAGATTTTTTCCGGGTTGCCCAACAAAGCTCTGAGGTGCAGTTCGAGTTAACAAACCGTGCTGAGCGTTGCCCCAAGGCTATAAACTGTAAATCCCGACTGATAGTTGCTCTGCAGAATATGCCTTCAATGACTTGTACTTAGACCTCACAGTTATGTGGCTTACATCACACACACGGGATATACATACACTTCTCAGCAATAGAGTGATATGCTGTGTACCAACTTGTTTTCCTTTTTCGTTTCTTCCCTCTTTTCCTCTTCTATGTATATACACATCTATGCAGTTACAAATACTTATATCAAATTAGGAGCTACTTTTGATGCTAAAATGACAAGACAAGCACACCTTACGTAATAGAAGGCTAAGGAATGTTTAGAATGACGGAGAACAATTACGACTATGACCAACAATTGCTTTTTCAGTCCTCTTAAAAAGTCTTCAGGTCCTCAGTACTATGAGTCTACTTGAGTTACCTGTATATGTATCATGTTCGTGCCCGCGCATATAAAAGTTAAGATATACGTGTTTTGTAAGGAGTATTTTGTGATGAATGCTTTCCAAATGTTCATATTCTTCTGGCG